CTAAAAAACAATGTATAATAAAAATAGAACCGACTTCAAAAAACTGAAAATGTATAATAAGATTTTTATGATGTGATATATTTGAATTCGATACCAAGTCATGTTTATTTAGCCATTAGCAGGGAGATCATGATAATGGTATCGACTTCAAATATTTTAGACAGTAAATCTTATTATTTCATTTTCAGTTTTTTGAAGTCGGTTCAATTTTATTAAATAATATTTTATAGTACCGTTGACAGATGCACACTATATTTGACGGAACGTTGGTGCAACAGTAGAGTTCTGCCTGCCTGCTTTCTGCCTTCATAATAATACATGTTCCCAAGTCACATTGTTTATGTTTTAATTGTGTAAGTATTATATGTAGATATTTATTTGCCATGGTAGCTACGAGCTGACATTACTTTTGGGACTAAATAATTGTTGTAAGAAGTCCGGAATTTCTTATTATATTATCAAATATTGGATTAGGTACATAAAAATCACATTACTTTAAAGAGATGTAAGTAGTTAGTGTATAATATCCTTATCGACGTCATTAATAAATTTCTTTGGTGTGTGTGTCTCTCTCAAATTTAGTTGAGTGGGTGTTGTCTGGTCGTTGGAGTTGTCGTTTAAATAATGTCGTAGAAGTCGAAGTTGGAGTCAGTGTGACGAAACTTGGCAGTCACCGCCGTCCTGTCTCGTAGTCCATTGTCATCGTTTTTCCTGTCAGTACTGGCATAATGTCCGTCATCTGTGGGCTAGTCAGTCAGTCCAAGGAGGCTGGACGCCTGGACAGGTAGGTGTATTTGATTAAGTAAAAAATTTAATTCATGCAAGGGTATTTTTTTCAGTGATTTTTAGGGCTCCGTACGAAAGAATGGATAACTCTATTACTAAGCCTCCGTTATCTACCCAACCGTCCGTTTGTCATAAGTTTATATTGTTGGCATTTGTAAAGAACCTATTTCCTTTGCAACTACACCCATTATTAGATATTCAAGAATGGATAAAATCTTTCAATAATGGGTCCCGACTGTTAAAGTAGCTTTGTTCCTTACCTAACAGAATTATAAACTACTGGACTAATATTTTAGCAGTCGGGTTTTTTGATTTTTAAATTTATCATTTTTATTTCACACTTTTTAGTATTATAAGATGGCATATACCGTAGTCTTGTCACTTAAGTAAGGGAATTAATATCGAGGGAATTATTAAGTACCTTGCGGTGGTTTTAGACCTAGTAGGTATTACAAATGGTGCAATCATAAAAAATATTTTCCAAATATTTTTTCTACCTATAAGCAAAATAAGAATAAGTATGAAAAATTACCGAATAACGAATCACTGTTTACCAAAAATGCTCAGCAACTTTTACCATATAATAAGATAAACTTACTACTTGCTTTATTTTTAAATCTTTTGCATCAATTACATATTAATATCCTAACTATCTATACTAATATTATAAGGAGGCAAGAGTTGTATGTTTGTAACAAATAATCTGTCAAACTACTGAACCGATTTCGAAAATTTATTCATCATAAGGTAGCGCTACATTATTTATTATTATATTTTCAAGCATTAATCGCATTATCGTTGATTAATATGCTCGATTTATATATCTAAAGAAAATTTTTAGTTGAAAAATCCACTCTGACAACTTCTCTGAGATGAATTTTTTCTAGTTCTTTTTTATAACTACATTTTATCCAAGTGACATAGGCTATATTTTATCCCGTTAAAATAAATTTTGCCCGTGCAATGCCGGGGTGGATCACTGGTATATATAAAATATTATAGATGCGAAACTGAGTTTGTTTTTTACACTTCCGCGCTCTAATAGCTAAATCGATTATGATGAATTTCCCTATAGAATTAGATGGGCCTTGGTTTTAAGCTACAATATCGCAATACTTACAGGCATAGGGTGATGGAATGGGTGATTAAGCTATAAAACTTTATATTATTTACTTTGAATTTTGCAGAATTATCTATCGTTTATAATTACAAAACCAACATTACCGTGATAATTAATAAATACAGGGAGCCATTAAACCGTGCCATTAAATATGTGTACCTACTAGCGAAAAATAGGTTTTTTCTCATTATGTTAAGTAACCCTTTTTTGAAACATGATGTAATATCGTTAAAATAAACTTTTAAAACAGTATAATTATGAGATTTTTATTCAATTACAATAATCATAAATACCTATTATGATAATTTATTTTTCATCATTTAATAAGAACTAACTGCATCACAGTTTTATTATAAGTACTTCGTATAGGATTAGATACTGTGAGTAGCCCATTTTTTCTTTTTCGCCTAGGTTTTATCTACGTTTATTAACACCAAAATTCTTCTCCCACTATGGCCGCAGTCTACTACTGCATAGTACACGCGCTATCACTTTTTCATCGTTGCAAATTTTTAAATATTTGTCGAAATGCCATAATGTAAAAGGCAAACTTTATCGTCTTTAAATATCAAAAGCGATAAAAGTATTTATTTTGATAAAAAATAATTTGTAAATACCAAATGTGCATTTTGGAAATGGACATCAAATAATATTTTATTTTAGATTCACTATTTTAGCGATAATGGAATGTACATTAAAAATACATATATGGTGTAGGGGACTTTTTTGTAGAATTTTTTAAGAGATACATTTTCACTCTACATTAAATTCATGTAACTTTTATTGTTTTTGCAATACAGGCCGACATGGCTCCCAAATGGGAGATTTTTTCCGTCTTTCTTGACCCTTATTGTTATATTTTGGCCAATTCACTCAATGACTACATAAATTTTTATTTATATGTTATTATCATGTATGAGCTATATTATTGTAAAGTTTCATTAAATCCATTCAGTATTTTTTAGGTGAAAGAGTAACAAAGATCCATACAAACGTAAGATTGAAATTAAAAGCGCAAGTGGTTAATATACAACTTTAAAGCGTTGTAGATGCTAAACAATCATATAAAATGAAAAATGGTGTAAGGAACCTAAACATGATTTTCGATTATCTATAATGATACCCCACTCGACATATTTCGTCAACTTATTTTTTTTACTTCGTCACAATATGGCGCCTAATTGTCCCCATATTAAATTTTGATTACTATCATATCTTTAGTAGCACTCCCATGATTAAGACGAATCGATTGATATATGAATCATCAAAATCGGTCCAGGCGTTTGGTCTCTAGTGTGCCACAAAGGAACAAACATACATATATAGACTGTTAAACACTATACCCTGTCTGCGCGTGGCGCTTCGCGCACTTGCATTGCGCAGTCGGGTAAAAAAAAAACAGTTAAGGCTGTTACAAGCACCTGTTAACGTCGAAAAGCTACGCCATCGGTTCGCAAATCTAAGGCGGGAGAACTTAACCATGAAATAGATAGTCCAGTCCCCGTAGCATGAGCACCACAATTTACATTATATCACGTTTTTTATCGCGTCTAACTGTCAAACTCCATAGTAATCTGACAGTTGAGCGTGATAAAAACTATAAACCTTTTATTGAATAGATAAGTAATAGAAAGGATTTTTGAAAAATGTACCCCTAAGTGTGTTAAATAGGGGCTGAAAGCTTATAAAAAAATTAAATTTAAAATCCTTAAGTTTTAATTGGTTTATATTTTTTTCCTTCCTGTTTCATTCTCAAAAATAAATCAAACAACTAGATACGAACGATGCAAGTGCCATTGCCACGTTTTTTTGTGCACAGGCCAAAGTTGACAATTCTAGTGCGACCGCCCGTTAGTAAAGTAAATACATTATATTATCTTTTGTACTATCTGTTTTGTACCTTGACTGAGAATAACCGGAAAGAAAATATAGAGGTTCATGCTTCATTCAGAGGTTCATGCATGCATACTACTGAACGCAGTCAACTGCGATGACTGCGTTCAGTAGTAGGTTCTATTCTAGGGTTCTAGCATACTTTGGGTATGAAACCCTAATTAATTATATTTTGTCTAAACTCTATACTAAAAGTTTATGTAATTTCTCGTTAAAGTAGATAAAAAGTTCATTTTTTTTTGTCTTGTGGCCTTTGTTGTGTGCAATAAAGAATATTTATTATTAATATTATTATTGTAGGTAATCGCTTGGTGAGAATATACATATTAATTTTACTTCGGAACTAGGATTCATAGCTTTAAAAAATGTAAGTACTCAGTGACAGGGTTTTATTAATATGATTGAATTAAAAAAACATAATTTAAATTTAATAAAACAAATCAAATTACCTTATCATTTTAAGCTTATGAAAATCAAACAAACGATTATTGAATATTACTTTTAGAATAAAAAAAGCTAGCAAGTTTTGGGATCTGAGTAAAATATTGGAAAAAAATGGTTCATTAATTTAAATTATTTCAGTTTGCTTTAAATACATATATATCATGAGTATAGTTATGTTACTTGTTTTGTTCTTGATTTTATTTTGAGCATCTCGTACCAATACAATGATGTTTATACGTTGCTGAGAATCCAGACGTACTTAGATAGTCGCACTTACATGCTGTCATCGTTATAAACATCGTGTGACTCAAACGAGTTATGGTATTTTGTATGTTATGAACAGTGAATATTGATAGACACTTTACACTAATAAACAAAATTATGATCACTTATTATTTAAATATAGCCTAAAATTTTAGATTATATTCTATGCGAATTTGCTGCCAGTCTTGTGTTACTAAATTAACAGGTGATTGTTTGCATGACAGGAGGGAAAAGTGACTTCAAGTTTTATCGTTCGCGTTATCTGGCGTCGGGAATTGGCAGTTTGATACTTTCACTGTCTTTCAATCTATCAACACCGTTCCTGGAAATTTCTGAAACATAAGCGAAACGTAGGCGAGACAAGGAGAAGCCTACCAGATCAGCATTACGGCGTTACGGAATTGCCTAATTCAATTAGAATTCCTGGGCTGGCTTCGTGTGATATTTCAGTTAGTTCAGTTTACACGTAGGCGTCTCGATGCGAAGGTGGAGCGTAAAAGTGTGGAAAAATTATGTTATTGCAGATTCTTCTAGTGGTACTGACATAGAAATGTGAAACTCTCTTATTGATGGAACGCGGTACGGTGTCAAGTGCGTTTGTAGGCAACAGTGTGGCAGGGCGGGCGCGGTGAGAGCGCGGCCCGGTTGCGACCGGTCGGCCCCTCCGCGGCGCGCGCGCACACGCTGCTCTGCGCCGTCGACGTCGCGACGCTGCGCCCGTGTGCACCGCTCCGTACGAAGCTATCGCGTTTTTTTCTGTTCACTTAACCACTATACGTACAAAACAGTGCTAAGGACGCTCCAGAATGTTTTTAACCAGTGCCGGACGCCTTATGCAGTGACAATAAGGAGGTCGAAAACTCGTTTTTGGCAGTACACAGCTCTAATCGTGGTAAGTTTACAAAATATTCTCGAAGTGTGAGATTTGTGTATTTCGTGTAAACAGTGAACGCGAATGAGGTGCAATTATGCGGGTTTCCCTCTCGGTAAGTGGGGTAAGGTCACCGGTGCGGCGAGTGCGTGCCGTAATGAGATTAGGGGCGCGTCCCGACCGCCCGCGCGGTTGCCTGACCTCTTTACGCTTTTCCCGTTTCCCGCCCGCCGTCGCACCGCAACTTTGTATTTGTTTACGCGAGGCTTTGTACAGGTACCCGGTTTATTTAGCTTATGATTTTTCTACGTCGAAGCGTTTCTTTATTTACTTATTATTATTTGAACATGACATAAAAGTGAGTGTAACAAACAATATAATAACGAAACCAACTCATTGGTTTCGTACACCTTTGTTTCTTATACTTGTGTTATCTTGTTAGGGTTCCTAACTACCTGATTTTATCATAAAAACAGCTCTGAATCTTAGCTTAATTATTAAAACATATGCGCTTTATTATCCATTCAGAAATGTACTATTAAATTGAATACTCAATAATGTAGTGATTGAATGAAGATCAGTTATAAGGTGGGGTTTTACCATATGATATTTTATATATGTATTGACTTAAAAGTTTAAATATAGTTTTTTACGACGATGCGAATGTTATTGTGTTCTGATTTTACAAGTTACATTTTTAATAAATACTGAATACTGATTAATTTGTAAACAATCCCGAAGTCACAAAAACAAAACATAAATTACTGGAAAATACCCGGAAACCTTGCTAATTATTGTCTAGCTGAGAACTCCCACAGTGATGTCACCAGTTCATCTCGTTACAACCTATTCCCAGAGACGATGCTCACTCGTTACACTTCGCTATGTTTATAATACAGACATAGTCTCTTAACATTGTCATTTCCCACACAGTAAATATAATCGGGAGCCCGATCGGAGTGAAAGCATCGATGTAGCGTTGAACCAACCTCCCTTTTGTTACCATAATTAGACGATATAAATTAGATTATCATTGAATTTAGACCTGCTCACTTTCCTCCGGGCACATTGATTGATAAAAGTTTACTCGTAAAAAAGAATAAAAGCGCAGAGTCGACTTTCACCGTAGTTTTGCTATAACAGTATTGGTTGTTTATTTTTCTTTATTGAGCTCATGATTGTAAGGTTACGCTAACAAGCGTTTCTTGCGAAAATTATAGTTTGCAGTAAGCGGTTTGATGATAACAAACACATATTTGCTGATAGAAATCTTTAAAATATTTGGCGCAATATTTGAATGACCTAAGTACCGTTTTCTTCTATTGGATTTGAGATGTGTAGAACATACTAGCTGATACTTGTGTTGTTGTCTTTGAATACTTTGAATGTATGTAAAATGGGTAGATAAAAATATAATTTAAATAATAAACAAGGCTTATAGACTTTGTCTGGACTTTAACTGATGACAAACAATTTTATTTTCAAGTTTTGATTCGGATATCGAGGTTTGAAAATAGCGACGCAAAATTCGGTGATTAACAACGGTTGTGGGAGTTTTTATTATCTACCTAATGAGGTTAATATTAACTTTTTTAATGGAAGTCTAATCGGAATACAAATGCCTTTCAAAATTTATAAAACTTAGCGGAAATTGGCGGCTAAAAATTAATGCTGTATATCACTGCCAAGTATGGGTGTGATGGCACTAATATTTGTGATTAAGTAATGAGTTGGCGTGATTAATAACATAATAATGTTCCTTACATACATCACTAAATTATAAAACTTTGATTAGAATGTCTGTGTGTTTCACAACACCACTTATATTTTTAAAACATGTTTAGATATTTATTTATGAAAGAAAATAAAGCATAATAGAAACGTGTTTTGTAATATTATCAGATGTTATAGCGAAACTCATTCATAATACTAGCGAGTGTGATATTCGAAAACAGGTTATTTTTATTGGATATTTATGTTCGAAGATACATACATATGTAAGGGAAAAAGTCTGGGATCTGTAAATATTTAAATTCGATTTCAAAACGAGCTTTCGGTGTCTCGAACTTTGTAAAAATGAGTTGATCGGTTAGCTAAACTGTAGGATGTTAACCTCTTGAGAATCTTGGCGGACATCTGATGTCATGTGCAAACGATGTCTCCGCCCACGAGATGCCCAATAGCTCAGTGACCATTTGCATTTTAATAACCTTCTTTTTGTAATGAATGGGCTCGAATATACGAAAAGGCCTTGTAATTTTAATATTTCATTACACCGTTTACTTTTTCTTGGTTCATTTCGCCCGCGTAGAGATTGGAATTGTAAATTACCGGGAGTCTTTTCGCTGAGTAAAAAGTTTTCGGATAAAATAATATATACCTACCAAATTTTATCAGAATCTTTGTTGCCGTTTCGGTGGGGATGATATTTTAAACAATTTCTGTATTCCAGTCATCATCAAATCAATTATTCGTTCATTACATACTTATTTTTTATCAATACAGTTTTTTTATGTTAAAATGTACATAAAAAAATATATAATGACTTTCAGAAAAATTATTATTCTCGAAGAAAATACTTACGAACTAAGATAATTATGCCCAAGTCGACAGAGGGGAAAGCTGTATATGCATACTTCCATCCTGGCCGCGTGGTATATAGATCATCAATCATTGTTTCAATTTTGAATGCCGTTTCGACTGTCAATTTTCGCATAACTCGTCAAACTTTCTTCATAATAAATCTTTTGTCGCTCTAACATTTATCATAGAAAAGCAATCCGGATCATTGAGAATTTAATTATTGAAGGCGGAAGTTATATCACGGACGGATATCAGGAATGTCATGGATTTAGTCACAAAACTTTTTGATTGTTAAAACGTTTTGTATTTGTACTCCAAGAAAGTTCTTTTTAAGTAAATTAATTATGGCATATAAAACGTTGTTGTTTAAACAATTTCAACTATATTTTAGAAGTCTTTATGGCAATAAAATTACATGATATGATTAAAAAAAGTCGATTAAATTTAATAACTTTTGTTCAGAGGTCTTAAGTAATTATTATGTTTTCTCTACATTTGATATGTGTTTACTTTAAAATATCTTATGTATTATTTTGTAACTATTTTCTGAGTTTTTGACTTCTGGTTTTATAATGGATATAGGTGTTATCAAACCAGAAGACCTACTTAATAAAACAAATCTACCCGTGAACCAATACGAAAAACCAAAGTATCTCGATTATTCGAAAATGCCATAATGTGCTATTCTTTGGAAGTACAGTAAGATTGGATCACTAACAAGTCCTCAGTTTGGTAATTGCTCCATCATGGATAGGTACGATTAGGAACCCTTTTTCCTCTATTTGAGTTCATTATGCTAGTAAATTCCAAATAAAAGATTTTAAAATTAATAAATCACTGTTTTGATTTCCAAAACATTTAAAAGGCGTAGTTTCTAATGTATTGATAAGGATATGAAGGTATCCATACTTAAAATGCGAAAGTGTGTCTGTCCATCTGTTATACAAACACGCTTAAACTACAAAACCAAATTAGATGAAATTTGTTAGAGACATGGGATAGTTTTTATCCCAGAAATCATCCTTCAATGGGATGTAAAGGAGACGGAACTCTGGAAAACCAATAATTTGTTTCCACGCAGACTAAGTCGCGGGTACCCACTAGTTAAATATTTTGGCAATATGCTTTACGTCGTGATTACGCTTATGGTTAAAGCTATACTTCAATTTGGCACACATTTCCTAGCTACGTTCGATGTATCAACTACCCAGTAGGGGGCCACCTTATTAATTCTCTCCTGTAACATCTAATCAAATAGAAGATCTTCCTTCTGACTATGGCGCTGGCTGTGTAGCGAAAATATGAAATTGTATATTTATTAAGTTTAGAAAATAAGATTTTTGGTTTACGATATTGTGCCTTTATTAAGAAAGCAGCACGTCATAGTGGGTAATACATAGTCTGTTTTATAATTAGCATAAAAGCTAGTTAAAGAAATGCTTTTAATGAATTTTTTGTTGAATTTAGTCGAAGAACACAATTTCGCGTGGATGTTGTTGCTGGAATTTCATAATTGTTTATTTCTACTCATCGTAAAATAATTTTGGGGTTTTGAACATTTTCACATATTAGATTTTTTGGGCTTTCGATCTTTGGTGTCTGTTTATTTTGACACAAAACACAACCAGGTTTATATCACAAAATCATTGACGCATGGTATACATAATATTAATTATAATAGTCCAGCAAAAGAAAGTACTTATAGTTAGAAATACCTTTTTCATAGATGACTCTACAAGATAATATTCGTAATAAGAGTAACACTACAGTCACACGTAATATACATACTTATAAAATATACATATAATAATGTATAATTTTATAGGCTGGGAATAAATTTAATTCCGAATTTAATTTCGGCTATCTGAGGTCGCGATCTCCGCCTATCGTTTGTGCGCCCCCTAGAGCCGCTGTTTTCGGAGACACATATCTTGATAACGTTCAGGGCACTCGCCTTTTGTGGGGGTTCCACCCAAAACATGAGATTTTATCGGACTAATTTCAATTTCGTATATGATAACTTCGGAGCGGTATTCTTCTTTTGATAAATTTGTGCGTTAGAAGAGAGCGATTCAAACTTAATACTGACTGTGAATTGAAGTTAGCGCGAGTCGCAGCTTAGGAAGCGAAATTAAGGTGCGCGCGAGGTTTTACTGAACTTGAATTTCACGCTATCGTAAAATAATGTACTGTCATCATCATCAGCCTCTTAATGCTGGGGCACAGGTCTTCCCTATTGATGGAATTGGGAGATTGGGCCATGACCCACCACACGGATCCAGTGCGACTTGGTGGATGTCAACGACGCAAACTCAGCCGGGACCAATGGCTTAGCTTGCCATCCGAAGCACGGAGGAGCTCGAGGTGGTACTTTTTTTGTCACCCATCCAATGACCGACCACTGCGAAAGTTTGGCTTCACCTCAACAATCGCAGCTG